TAAACAGCACCTAAGACTTGTACACACTGTAGTAAGGGGAAAGACTTGTCCCTAGCATCAGGATCACCCTACCTTGGTGTAAACAGCACCTAAGACTTGTACACACTGTAGTAAGGGTTTCATCGTGGTGTATTAGATGACAATCATAACCATTCACTTTCATAAACAGTATAAAGTATAAATATAAAAGTATAAACTAATCTGTATGTGAAAATTAAAGATTTCATTAATCAAATTTGGTAATAATATCGAAGGTTTTCATGTTTTTTATTTTTTCGACGCAGCATGGTCTACCTGTGGTTTATATCCCGTCAATCCAATTCATAACTGTGTTCGTAAATTTATTAGATTGACAACGGAAGCCACGGCTGCATAAACAAGATAAAGGCTGTAACTAGCTATTCTACCCTCCCCTCCCCTGCTTTGCTATTATTGACAATGACCCACTTCCCTCATGATAACAGAGTTCAAAAGAACAAGCCTTACCCTCCCCTCCCCCCTTTTCTCGAGCATGTTGCTAATAATAACCCCACCCCTCCCCTCACGTTCACAAATATTTTCAAAAATGTTTTCCTTATTGCTTTTTCAACCAATAAATAAGTTTCACCAAAGACAATTCCAAGCATTGGCTTGTTTAGATTCCCCCTCTACTTAATGTTTTAAGAAGTGTTAACAACATTTTGGTATTTTTTTCCCTACCCCCCCCTCCCCCCACCCCCCTCCAAACGCCGACACCACCCAAACACACCTGCTCGTACCAGTCTTTCTGCTGTTATCTGCTTGTTTGATTTGCATTTCCTGTTTGTCTGATGAAAGCGAAGCAAGCGTTTGGTTCTTCTTCTTCTTCTTGTCCTCTTCTCTTCGAATTTCAAGTAAGTTATACGTGTTAATTTGTATCAATCAGTGCATAAATACATTAGTTACGTGTGATTTAGTAGATCTCTTAGTATATTCTAGATAAGATTTACTGTAAGGTTCTACGATACACAGCTTTGATCATGGAAGAGTTGAACTTGTAACTGTGTGATTTGAAAGACTGTAAAAACCTCATTTGATCAAAATATCCAGATAGGATAGTGCTTGTGGAATAATGAAGTAAGAATTTGGATTCCAAGCAGTTTAGCTGGGTTGATATCGTCTGTTAGTGAACAGTTTTGATCATCGATCGAACAAAGGACTCTGTGTAAATATGGGTGTTGGCTGCCTTGACACGTTTCCAAAGCTTCAGGAAAGCGTGTTCGTGTCCTGTACTCAGACAGAATCGTACGAATGGTTTATTTGAAACCTAAAGCCATTTATCAAACGTCTAGGTGTTTAATTTCTTAATTTAGTATCATATTTTAATCTTTTTTTTCCATATATTTCTTTGATTTTCTTGACTATCCTGTATGTCATAGTGTCCTAATCAAGCTTGGTGATTTTCAATTCTATATTGTTTTTATTGAACATTTTTCTTGAATCTGTGATATTTTTGGTACCCTATGGCTCCACAACTGGTTTCCAGTTTGGCGTATTTTTTTGACGAATTTAGTGCTAAGATCTAGAACTGTTGTAGGATAATACAATACCCAAGAGATGCTAAGGTGTGTCGACAGATCACGAGACTATAGAGGTCACGCGACCATCTTATGTTACATAGATGAACAGTTTTGATTGACAGCTGATGACAAAGAACTTGAACTGAGTTCAAAATATAAATTCTATTGAAGAGGTTTCAAGGTTCCTAGTGGATGACAATGAAGTTGGGAAGCATTTTTATTATGGATTGAAGGATGCTGTCAATAGTGATTTAAATAAATATACAGAACTCCATCCCTGAATCAATAGAGTGCTATTCTTTCCTGCGGCATGTCTTTTGATTGGTTAGATACTGGATTCAGTTTGGTACATAGTTGGTAATATGTCAGCAGTTCAATAATTATCTCCACAACAGTGCAGCAGACTGAAGCTTTAATTTTTCAACCAAAAAATCTTTGATTATTATAACTTTGTTAATTAGCATTTCTGCTGACGGCGCTCATCTGGAACATCTTCCCTTTTGTTTCAAAAGTTATGAATATTTATTAATAGATGAATAATTATAATGAAATAATTTGAATATCACTTCAATTTAGCAGTGACGGTTGTCAACTATTACTGCACATGTTTTCCAGTATTAATAGCAATAATAAATACTTAATATCTTTCACATTCAATCTTTTTGTTTATAAATTAATTGAGATTCATTTTCTTTATTTTTGAGTAAAATATGTTATTTATTGAGCCAAAAACCTGGAATTGCTCTAGAAAATATAGGAAGGATCTGAAATATATTTGTTAGTCCAATGGTGGGCGAGATCTAATACTTTTTTCGGAGAATGAGGGGGACTCTAAATTTTACATAGTATTGAAAAATATCACCTGTTAATGTTTATTGCATAATCCAATTGTTTTGTGAGATGTTTTAGTTTATTAGTTGATTAGTTTATTACATTAAAAAAACTCATTGATAATTCATGAAGGAAACACAATAGAAATCATGACCATGAAGGTGATTTTATATCTGATATAGATTCGTCTTCATTTGCATAAACTTTAACTTGGATTTTCTCTATCAAACTTGGTTCATTTCGTAAAAAAATCGGTACACAATGAGAACATACATCAGGAGTTTCCTAAGCCATTTAATAAACTCGCAGATCATGTTTTATTGGGTCCAAAACCCGTCTAAAACCACTTGGTAGTGCCTCTTGTTTCATACCCGATAAAACTCTCCTGCTCGTTTATTAAACATTACTTATAGTATTTTTACAGCAAATAATCATTTATAGTTATCATTATGGTTATTATTATCATCCATCTACATTCATTTAAAAAAAACATTTTTATCCAGTTTGGTTAAGTCGACATACACAGCTGACCTCACTCCTTGAATAAAACTTTACTAACCCTCCCCTCCCCAACCTTTTTTCCTGGAACAAAAGTGTTTATTTTCAACTTGTTATTCAACAGAGAGAAACCTGATATGGCAACCAGTTGGGCATCTTCAAGTAAAGAAAATCTAAACTTTGCTCGCCTTTCTAAGTTATTGATTGATGGTGGAACACGTGCCTTAAGAGATGTATTTGACTCGATTCATCCACCAAGCTCCCTTCACAGCACACTAATTAGTAAGGCAGTGCATTCTACTCTAAAGGGACTGAGAGCGAAGAGGATTCTAAATAAACGACAATGGGACAGACTCTACCCTGCTAGCCGAAGCACAGCTGTCACTTCAGTAGATTTTGACATCACACTGTTATTTGTACTGTTGCGTAATATATGTGGTTTAACACCCCCASCAACMGGATGGGACAAGCCTCCTGTTGCTACAGACCTGAGTAGAGAAGCTGATTTGGCTCAAGTCAAATATTATAGAAATGAACTTTATGGCCACATTACGGAAACAGCTGTTAGTGACAGTGATTTTGAGAAATACTGGAGTGAGATCTCAGATGTGTTGGTGAGACTGGGTGGACCTCATTACAAACCAGAGATTGAGAGGATGAAAATAGATACAATGGACCCAGAAGAGGAAAAGAATTTTATTGGAGCACTTGAAGAGTGGGAAGAAATGGAGCAGAGATTAATTAGAAAGATGGATGAGATTCTTGCTAAGAGAGTGAAAAAAAATTCTGCAGATGCTTCACAGGCCAAAGGTTTGTAGAATTGTAGCTAACCGTATAATCATTTAGTATACCCCTAATGGGTTTTGTATTTTGATAAATCACTTGGGAATACAGTTTTATATTTCACACTAAAACTTTTATATATGTCTTGTAAAGAGATCAATAATAAAATGG